TGCTTTAATTAAAACGATGCATAAGTATGTACCTAAGTACAATATACAAATTACTCTGCATTCCAACTTTCACATTCTTGTCACTCTCTGAGTTGAGCACCTATCTGTCATTACTCGTATTTGCATCTCTACAATTCGCGTTTGAGAACCTTAGCTTTTATTTTAATGAACCTATTAAGACTAGTTTATACTAATTGCTACTTAGACATTAGTAATTAATTTTAATAAATAGTGGGTCGTCGAAGTCTGTTGCTGTTAACATATAGTGAAGACAGCAACGAACTTTTTATTGTGCATCGACTTAAACCGAAGTTTGCTTATTCGCTGATTGGCTGACGTCATAAAGGCGCATGATTTTCGTAAGGTTTCAGAGACACATGTTTATAATTATTTATATGTAAATAATGCAATCTATGAGTACCACAAGAGAGTGATTAAATTGTTGAGTTTTAAAAAAAACGAGAATAAGAGAACAAAGACCCAGATCGAGTTTTTTTTATAAATCACTTATCTTTTAAAATCAGGTAACATGACACGGTGAGACCTCATTGCACACGTTTCTGAAAAGTTTCGTTTTCGAACAGAAGGCAAACGTTGAACAGCTGTTCTGATTTGTTTACGCAAGAAGTATATGTAAAAGTAAATTGCGTTGTTTTTCTAGTTGTTTATCTATGATTACGGCCATGTGAGTAAATATGTATATGTGAAGCAAAAAAAAAAATGAGCGCCTATTGTCTGTGCAATTGAAGCTTCTGACTGAGATCACGTTGTCTACATTAACGTCAGCTGTAATCATTGTTGTTGTTGCACTTAGTTTGATACACTGTGACAGATACATTTCAATGATTTGCTAACCTCAAAGTAGAATTTGTACACTTCCATTTTTATTTACTCCTCGCTTATGAGGGATCGCCTTAATTTTCCGATTACTTCTAAATGTATTTCCATTATATTTATATTTGATTGTAATTTGAAATGTGTCACTTTATCAAATTATTTGTATGAATTTACGCGTTTATGCCATGATAAGATAAAGCTATTGCTTTGTTGTGAGTTTATTTAATTTAAAACTCTCTACCGTCTCTGCTTATGTCAACAGAAGCTATCAAAGCAGAGTTCCAAAAGTTTCTATATCAAAGCGAGCAACAACAAAAGTAAACGAAAACACATTTAATCTTACAACAACAAAATCTGATGCGCTTTGTTATTGAAAATGTCTGTTTTAGATTTGTGATGCCGAACTAAACCACTTGGCGGTGGCATTTTTTATTTGATTGCGGTTGCAAATGGCGCTTCAAATTATTTAGTAATATCCAGAATTTGATTGTACAAGTACAATTGAAAAAAAAATATTTTTTAGTTTATTGATAAATTGTTTTCTAATATTTTCGATGTATATGTATATGCATATACATAAATGTACCTATGGTTGTATGTTTGTTTTTAGAGTAACATGTGTCTTGTAGCCGTAAAAACTGGTTTTTGTTTTTGGTTTATTACCAAATGCGTCATTGTTCGCAGTCATTAAATTTCTGGTAACAGAATTTGTTGTGGAATATAGATTTAAATCACATTGTTCTGTAATTTCTGTAATTTTTTATGAGATATTTATAGTTTCACCGTATCTGGCTTAGAATTAGCACTTTTTGTGTGATTCTGATATTCATTTTTTTTCACAAGCCCATTTACAGCTATTAATATGTACATGTTAGCCCAATTGTTGTAGTTCTACAACTTTTCATTAGTCATTCATATTTTAATCGAACATATATAATTATATAGAATCAAACAATAGCGCACGTTTTGTAACCACATATCACATATGATCAAAATTGACCCGTATAACAAAAAGAAATATTTTCACCTCTTTTAATGCACATTTTTATTATCAACTTCAAAAAAGGTCCCTGACTCAATACTCTACTACAATAATCAAAGTTATAAGCTTCCGCCGGGATGGCTTTCAGTACTTTCAGCGAGTTTTTATTTATTTTTTGTTTTTTGGTTTCGGCTTAGTTTTCGAGCGTCATTCGCTATATTGGAGAATGTGGACGAGATATTCATAAACCCACGTCTAATCACCCGTTTAATGAATGTAGAGTTTTCAGCTATATTGTCAAGTATCTCTTTTGAGACCTCTACTCAGCGTCGTTTCAGCAAAAGATTCAGGCCTAGCATTGACACACCTCATAACCAAAACATTAAGCAAAAAGTGTTGAATCGATCCACACGACGATTTTAAAACACTTTTTCTATCAGTTTTTCAATGTTATAGTCATTAACAGAGGTGTATGTATGACTCGCATGAGGCAAGTTTTCGATGATTTTAGACCTTCACTGAATAGTTTTTGCTACTCGAATACTTGCGTTCGTGATAACTAGCTGTTTAATAAAATTTAAGATAGTAATTGAAAGAGACTGTATCACTAAAAGCTCTTTTTGAATTTTTAAAAATATAAATCTGAAGAATGTTCTTGTACGAAGGTACGGTTGTCTGTTTCTTCTTGAACTCTGCCTTTTTCATCCCATAACCAGCCATGTGCCTGTGAATACATGTGGAATCAGCGTAGGCTTACGTAACATAGACCCGAATTTCATTGATATGAAGCTACTAAGGGTGTTTGTACCTGTTTAGACTAGGTTGTAAGAATTTTTTGTGGGTTGAAAAAAAATCAAATTTTAACAAAAAAAATAAAACTTGCTAAACTTACTACTTGCTTTCTTACACACTTGACCTACTTTTAACTCAAAACTTTCTAGGAATTGCATTAGAATCAAAAAGCTTATTACAACTACTCTCCCCTTCACTTGGAGTTATTTGTATTTGTGTGAGTAATTTTAATTATTTTAATGTTCCTTTATCAATCTAACGTAAACGTTGGCGGTTGTCAAGCAGCCGACTTTGATCTATCCAACATTTAATGTTGCTACAAAAACTATGGCACACAGCAAGTTTACTTCGAAAAGGTCATAATCAACTGTTGCAAGCATTGTGAGTTATTTATTGCGCAGGGAAATTAATAATGGTTTCGAGGACACAAATTTCAAGGGAATTAAAAAGTGGCAAGTTTATACTTATACCGTGTGTATGTATATAAGTAGGTGTGGTCATCTCTGCGCCTTAGGTAATGGTAGTAATTGTAAATTTTTATGTGTAACCCGAAGTATATGGATAGCAAGCGGAAAGTTTGCTAGAAAGATGACCTAGAAATTAATTAATCGAATAGAGTAGATACATACATACATATTATACACATTTGTAAGTTGCTTTTGAAATATAGCACATTTAATGAGCACTGCGATAATATAGAATTGTCTTAAATATTTATATGAAACTGTCTTACCATAAATAACTAATGTTTAAATAGAAATTAATAGTGAAATTTTGTATAAAGTGATTTTGGAAAAAATTTTCAATGATTTTTTTAATGCTTTTTAGAGAGTAAAATGTTCCTGCAACATATTTAAAAATGTTCTGTTTAGGCCAATTTTCCCTTAAGAGACACACTTAAGTGAAATTTTGGAAAAATTTTTTTTTTTATTTTTTTGCATATTTCGATAAATTATATCTTTAAAAATAACAGTTAAAATTTTTTAAGACAGACAATATTATCAAAAAACAATTTTTTTTTTAGATTTTATCCACGAAGAAGGGCGAAATGATTTCAGCAGTGGAGGACCTTTTTTAGCGCCATCATAAATTTGCATATAACTAGTAAAATGTTTAATGTTTTCTGCAAAAAATATACTAAGTATTATTGAAATATGTATAAATATACCCTTAAAATTTGAAAACGATTGATCAACTTTTTTTTGAACCCGCAAAAATGGATATTTTTTTTAATGCTGTCTCGCGTGTTAATTTTTATTACATAAGTACGACTCAATTTTCTCTAAAACCGCAAACTTTAAATCTTTGAAAATCTTGTTCATGGCAGAAAGATTGTAGTCAGGCTTTTGCAGCTATTATAAAAGCTCAATGTTTAGAGATTACTTAACTTCACCCCCGCGGCAAGTGTTCTCTTTTCATCACTCAACTCAAGCCGATCTTTAATATTTTTGTTAATTTCTGTCATCGTACACTATTTTTATGCAATTTTTTACACTTTTATCAACATTTTTTTTCACATTATCATTACATTTCGCAATATCTCGTTCATTTATTTGCTCGCCATTCACCAATTCGGCATACTTATTGTCTCTATTTTGAATTTACTTTATATGAATTATATGAATTTACTTTAGTAATCCCGTATTTACATATATGTACTCGTACTTATATATCGTAAAGTGGCATTGTATTTTATAAGTTGTTTGTATGTCTTAGCAGCACTTACACATGCACACAAACTAACGCACATTCACGACTCGCTGTTGCCGGTACTCATGCACCTAAGAGTCTGCTTGTTTTGCAAATTTATATTTTCCTTAATTATTGTACTTGTACTTCCACACCCAAAGGAAAAATGCGCCTGTCTTCGTTTTTGCCTTTTAGTATTATGTAAGGAGTCTTATTTGTTTTACATTTTTATTTCGATTTATTCTTAATTTGGTTTTATAATAATTTTCCTTTTTTACTTTCCGTTTATTTTTCGATTTGTTTGGTACGAACTCGAATGTTTGTCGTACTGAAAACTGTCATTTGCGCTCGCTGACGTTCCTAAATAAACGAAATAACCAATGCACTCACAACACGCGCTATACAACAAACGCAATATCGCCTAACAACCCAATTTAAAATACATAAATAACCGATATATACACACACTTACATATATGTACATATGTATGTATGTGTATACTAAAAATGCAATGTAAAAACACTATATGCTTAAACAAAATAAAAATAAAAAATAAAATGCATTACATAAAAAATTATAAAATAATAAAAAAAATGCACAACTGCCTGCCTATTGGATTGTCTGCCTGTTTGCCTGCTTGCTGTCTAACTGCATTTTGTAAAATAATATTTAAACATTAACTAAACTATGTAATAAAAGTAAAAGAAAGAAAATAAGCAAGCTCAAGCCCAAACGCCATTACAACGCCAGGATTGACACATCAGCTCAGTTTGGCCTCATCCACAGACACACATACACCTACACACAAACATACCAACTACTACAAGTGCCACTCATTATACATCCACCAAGCACCTGTGCAACAAGAAATACAAGAAAAATAATAACTACAACAAATCACAACTCGAATTCAAGCAACGTTTCAAAGAAGCAGCAGCAGCAGTTGCAAGAAACAAAATTCGATTGTTTGGTGTAAGTGTTGAGTTGCCTTAAAGATGCCGCAGTCCGAAGGCGGCTATACGGCGCTCGATAGCGCCGGCACCAATGGTCACGATGGCAGTGGTGGCGCCATCTATCAATCCACCACAGAGCCGACCGGTCCACACTCGGTTTTTGAATCGATGAAACGCGCCATTGGTCAGGTGGTGGGCACAACAAATGGTAGCTCCCAGGATACCGACGATTTGCTAACGACAACCAATGGGCGTCAGGCCACAATTGTTGGATCAAGGTAAGCGAAAAAATGTCTGAACAGTTTTATTAACTAGCAAATTAACGATAATATAAAGGAATGCAGTTAATTTGTTGCTTGTTTCTGTTGCTTTTGTTCGTTTGCTTTACTTAATTTGTATAATGTAAATGTAATAAAAATGCCTAAACTTAATTTCACTTACCACTTATCACATATAAAAAATGTTATTAAATATAAAGAACTTTCATATTTAAAAGCTTAAATGCGAGAAGTCGAGTATTCTGTGTCTAGCTTTGTTGAAAGTTTAAAAAAGCATATACAATACTTATAGGATTTTTCAAAATATTGTCTATCTGTAGTTATAAGATTTTCCCATCTTTCTGAATTTTTGCGGATTCCCTCCCAAAAGAACTGCGTCGGCTTGGCGGCCAAGAATGAATCAAACCAATTTTTGATACGCTGGCTGATTGGCTGGCCATTCACACATGATTTTTTGCTGTTAGAGTCATCGTAATGAATCCATTTTTTCATCACCAGTCACAAACCGATGTAAAAACGACTTCTTTTTGTTCAAGCAGTATTGCTGACAATCGTCTTTCAAAGTCTCTTGGCTGCAATTCATATGAAACCAAGTTTCCTCCATATTAATGTAATGAAGAAGAACTCTCCGCAAAAGGACTTTTTCAGGCCGAAAGTTCGACATATTTTAATGAACTAATCAGTTTGGAATATTGAAGTAATGGAATATAAGTTAAGTTACACCATCTATTGGAAAAGCACACGAATAGATCCAGAATTTCTTTATATCTCTTTTCTTCCAAAAACATCATGAATAGCGCATCGTTTTTTGTTTTTTTTTTTTTTTTTTCGTCGAAATAACAGCCCTTGGCCGGATAAAATCCGGGTCAATTCCGGTATCGTAGAACCGGCTGTTGTGGGAATTGAATGGCGCATCTTTACTATCGCTTGTATACAGAAATGAAGTGGATCTCTATTCATTATTTAATATGTGGAGCATATGCTCCAAGCCAAAGCCATTAAAAATCTTATTCGGAATTTCATTATTTTCTGCCTGTGTTATTTTGAACTTGGGATTATTTCTATTCGTTTGTAAAATTGCTAATGTAAAGTTTTCCAACGAAGACTTGCGATTCGCTACAACTGTCCCGGCAAGAAGTAACGTTGCGTTAAGGCTTTTAGGTGTGAAATTCAAAACCCGGTGACACACTAAGCAGTCGTGATTAAAAAATTCGACCTCAATTGCTTTATGAACCATTTCTCATTCATAAATCCATTACACATTTATATAGCACTTAAGTTAAATGCACAGGCATTTTGTCAACCGTTTTACTCAAATAAATTTACCAAACGTAAAACGTATGAAATATGATTTTTGATGCCGGCTGTGATTGCGCTGTAATATTGATTTGATTTGTGCGAATAATATTCAAATTTCTGTGACTTGTCGTGTCTGAAACTACGGCACAATATACAAGAGTTGGCAAATCAATGGAAAAGTTCAAGGCAACAGCGTGTTTGTGAATTTGGTGAAACGCTTGCAAGGCACCCAATTGTGTACAGAGACAACAATCAGTCAAACAAACGTGGCATCCAATAAAATCGACGCTATCGAGCTAGTAAATCAACATTACGGCAGCAGCGACGTCAAGGCAATTGTTGGTGCCACATGCCACAAAATACGACTTCGCATATGCGCATTGTTTTGTCAATAATTTGTTGCAGCTCAGTTTATTTGAGATGCCTTTTTTATTGTTTCAGCTTAAACTCATTGTCATTTCGCATCTTTTTACCCTTCTGCACTGTTGGGACCACTTTCATTGGCAATCTGCTCGCAGCGTATTACATTTTATGTACTTTTTTTTTTAAATTTTTTGCACATTTCCAAACGGTTGGGCGCAATAAGTTCAATTGCTGGTGGCAAGCATGTGGCAGCAAATAAATCGCACGAAAATGTCGAGTGACTGTGTTAAGTGGCTTGGCCGTTGTAGTCGCTGGATAGTAATGACCCGGCTGACTGACTCGCCCGTCGTTTGATTGGTTGGCCGAGTTGACAGCCCAAAGTGGCTATGTTACTGCATACGTAGTTTTGTAAATGCACGAACATGCCGTTTGCCACTTGCCACATGCTGCCTGCACTTGATTCCGTTTCGATTGTGTGTGATTTTTTTCTTGTTTTTTAGGTGTGCTTTTTCACACCGAGCACACGGTTCTTGCGCTTATTTGTGCTAGTTCTGCCAGCCTCAGCCCTCCCCTGTGTCAGCTGCTTTTCAAATGATTGCGCTTTTTGTTGTTGCATGCACGTTTAAATATTGCACAATTTCTTGCTTGGCATTGCGCAAATCTGGCGCAGTTGGTCAATTCCATATTCCAATTTCCAACAAGCTAACGACACTTGAACGCCAAGCAGCGCACAACTGTTGGCAACTGGTGTTGTCGCAACACGCTCCGTCCCTCGCTCGCTCACTCGTGTCCATTGACCATATTGCTGCCGAGGCTCCCGCTGCTGCTGCTGCTGCTAGCGAATTTACATATGTAAATGTAATATATAATATATGCATGTCAATGTTGCCACAAGCAACTGAAATTGGAACCACTGTCATGAATAAATGGAATTATGTACTTATTTAATACTTACAGTCATTTGCTTTGCGCACATACACACTCACACAAACCATACAAGTGTAAACCTGCTGATGTGTGAGTGTGTGTGTGCGTATGCTTTTGACTTTTTGACCTCTGCTTTCGTACGAATTTTCAGCGATATTGCACTTTATACCCACAGCGTGGGTCCCTGTGCTATTAGGTCAATTCGCCCATTTCACTGGGCATCTGGTGAGAGAAGCGCGCCCTGTGGTGCGCTGCAAAAAGTTGATGGCTACTGCAACAAAGTCAATTATTGTTGCGTAAATATTACAAAATACTTTCTATATTACACTTTAGTTACCACTTTTTCACCATTACCAACACCAGCAACAACCGCGTCATTATGGTCATTAACAAAGTTAGTCATCAGTTATCAGCAAAGAGCCATCAGCTACACACAACAAGCAATTGTGCCTTCGAATGTGTCAGGTACATGTACAAAAACACACACAGATACACCCACAAATGTCTGCGTAAATTATTCACTGTAATTTCATAAATGTTTACCACATTTTCATTGAAACTGAGTGTCGAGCTCCAGTGCTCTTTCCGCAGGTCTTTTTGCAATTTCTCTTAGCTGTTATATTTAATTACATTCGTGCGGCCAATCGCTGTTCGATCGCATTTCACATTGACTCATTTACCGTTTCTGACATGCATATACAAGTATTACATGTTTTCATAAGCATTTTGCTGGAGCATCTAATACAGGATGGATACGCGAAGTCAGTAGACATTTTATACCGTTTCATTTAAATTTGGTCATTTTCTCATATAGACAAGCAAGAGAAATTGATAAAAATTCAGGGTTAACTGATTACTGAAATCAAATAGAAAGGAATTCGAGTTCCAAAATTGCAAATTTGCACAATTTGTTAGTTCTAATGAAAACACCCTTTAATTAGAAAAATGTTTTTTAAAAAAAGTAAAGAATTTCCATACATCACTGAACTAGTACCTGTTTTGAAATTATTTTTGCATTATTTTTAAAGAATATTATGATAGCGCATTACGTTTAGAATTAGCAATAATTGTGAGCTGCTTTGCAAGTCAGAAATTCTAACTAATTCTTTAAAACATATATATTTATGCATATATACTTATGAATATATGAATATGTTTGTGTTAATTACTAAGATTTTCATCCGAGTTGCATCTCATTCCTCTCCCCTCAACTATGTGTGTGTTGACAAATAAATCGCATATTTACTTCAATTAACACTTCCTGCCAGCCTGTTAGTAACGGCTGCCTACGCCGAGTTATCTCTTAGAAATCGCTCAAATAATTCAAATAAATTCAGACTCGTTCATACACAAAACTTATTCATACCTATTTACAATACATATATATAATATAGGTATATGCTCTGAATAGTTGTGTAATCATAAGTATCGCATTTTAGTCGACCGCTTTTATGGACTCAGCCGTTTGACCGGGATGACCGTGAACGGTGAATAAACACCAGCTCTTGCCTGCAACTGAATGCAGCTGGTCGATGTACTGTTTTTGTTTGTTATTGTTTTTGCATCAATTAGCATACACCGCTCCACCGCAGCTGATAACTTGAAAATCACGCAAATTAGCTGAATTTAGCTCTTCAATTGCCCATTGCAATGCTCGCCTCTTCACTTGTATCCTCAAGTTCCACGTGCACGAAAATGTGAAATATGAAATTATTTTTAACACGAATGCGGTCGCGAGGAACTCCCTTTGTGCTTAATTCACTTTGAGCTGCGCTTAGAAATAATTACGCGCTTTTGATTAGCAATTAAAAGAATTTTGAAAAAATTATTTCGTGCTGATGGAAGTACTAAAAAAATGATGTAGGAGATTTCAAATAACGTAATAGATTTTTAAGTATTGAACAAGTGGAAAATTTTGCATATTATAACAGGAATACATACTCGTGTAACGACAACAAATCAAGTTAGAATACCTCTGGATCATTTTGCCTACAAGTATTGTACTGTTACAAAGGCAATTCGAATTCGCAGACTCCATAACTTCCATAACTATTTATAACTAGCTGACACACCGAATTTTGTTAGAAAATAATAAATTAGACCATCGAGTTGACAATTATTGGCATTTTTTATTCTTCTTTACATATCGTTTGACGTTTTTTCTAGTTTAATTTTTCTTAGGTTTTGTTCTGAGTTACTCTCTATTTGCGGAGCAGACGAATTCGAAAAATATAGAACATCTAAATCGTTGCAGTCACCTTATATGCCAACTTCGTCACCTCATTTGCTTGTCTCTTTTAAGTCATTTAAATAACTGTTCTCAGTATAAAACTCTCGGAGAGAACGATGATTTCCTTAGGCATATTACTTTGTTTAAAAATAGTCTAGATTTGTAAAATTTTCCAGATGTT